CACGAGCCCCCCGGTCGTGCGGGGAACAGGAGTTCGCAGGCCTGCCTTCGCCTCCTGCGCCCCCCGCAGCCGAAACACGGCCACGAGAACGCAGGCTATCAAGAGCACGAGCCCCTCCGCCGAAAGCCCAGGGCCCCGTGCGCAGAAACCCCCAAACGAGGAGCACTCCAAGGCACCAAGGCGGAGAGCCAAAAGAGTGCTCGTCGGCGGCGAGGCAGAGGCAGTCCGCACCAGCGTGGGGCTAATCGGCGCAACCGATGGCCACGAGAAGGTGGGTTATACAGCGGAGGCCAGTCCACAATAACAAACCTTCCACAGAGGAAACCCAAGCCTGAGACCCCAGGACGTCCACGGACTTTTGGCATGGGAACGTCACGCCTTCCATCGCAAAGCCCTCGAAACCCAAGAAACCCAGGGCACCCTGGGGGCAAGCAGGGTGCTTCTTGGCATGGGCCTCCACTGCAAAAACACGAGCCCCTCCCCCTCCGCCGAAGGCCCAAGGCCCCGTGCGCAGAGACCCCCAGACGAGGAGCACTCCAAGGCACCAAGGTGGAGAGCCAAAAACACGAAGGTCACGATCCAGGTCACGAAGGTTCGTGACGTGCCGACTTCGGCGTTGGCTTCTCACACTGCGGGGATCCTTCAACCTTGAAAGATCGGCCGTTTCCGAAAGGTCAGATCGTTCCACATCGAACGAGACCTTCGGTGGAGCTCCCTCTGGGGCCACGAAACGCTGTACTGGGTGGGGGAACCGCACGCGAACAGCGGGAACCTTGGGTGGAGCTCCCTATGGGGCCACGAAGCGCTGCACTGGGTGGGGGAACCGCATACGAACTGCGCCATTGGCACCGTCGGTGGAGCTCCCTATGGAGCCACGAAACGTGTGAGAGGTGTGCCAAAGTGATGGGGGTGAGGGAATGAGGGAGGAGGGGGAGGAGGAAGGAGTCAGGAACGCGGGGCGCTCTCTTCAAAACGAGGACCCAACACCACAGGATGGTTGGGGAAAAAACAGGCTGCGAGCCCCAGGAGGGGCACTTCAATTGGAAAAAATGCGATGTGCGCTGGAGGGGGTATCAAAAAGAATGGATTCTTCAAAAGTGAGATACCAACAACTGCAACAGCAACCATCATCTTAAAACTGTTCGCTCTTACCTTCTCGCGTGCCATTCAACACGTATGTCCCAAACACTCGATACCCGCCTTCTTCGTCTTCGATCGTACCCCCTCCTCACCTGCCACTCAAATTTAGCGCAGCCCCTAAAACAGGGAAAGATGAGACGGATGGAAGGGGGAGGGAGAAGGATGGAGCACGAGAGAGATAAGCAGGAGGGGGGCTGGGATCAGAAAACACGCGGCAGAACCAGACGGACAGATCGGGCGGGCAGACTCTAGCGGGCGGGTTGGGAAGGCGGGCCCAGGTGGCCAGGTCGAGCAGGCGGGTTGCTGAAGCGTGAGCCCTGCATGAATCGCGAGGAAACCTCGAGCGACAGCGCGATTCCCATATAAATCACGAGAAAGGCGAAAGCGAGAGCATGATTCCTGAGTATCGAGGGCGCGGCGTCGGAATAAATTGCGAGCGCGACTCCTGCATACATTGTGAGAAAGTCCCGCGGGAGAGCGCGATGTGTGAGTAAACGGTGGGGAAGTATGGGAGTAAATGGTGAGGAAATGTAGAGCGGGAGCCGGTGTTGTTGTAGTTCGGGGCCCAATAACGCAGTTTGGTGGCACACCAAGCTTCCCCTGGTAAAAAAAACAGGTGCGAGCCCCGGGATGAGCATGATTGCAAATTAAGAATCACCGGAGAGAGGGGATCAACAACAATTGTTTCTCCACGAGCAAAAGCCCTATCCCCGCTTCCAACACCACGGCTCGCAATGCCCCCCAGCAGATGACCACGTACGCAGCCACGGGCACGCCTCTGCTTACAGGCGTGACCCCCCACGCGCCTTGAAACACTCCTGACGGCGCCTTGAGGGAGGAGCCTACTGAGCCTGGGCCATGGGCAGAGTGAAACTCGAGAAACCGCCAGGGCTCTCCAGGAAGCACTCGGGCGTGCAGAAGAGGCTGCTGCGCACTCGTCTTGAGCCCGCGCAGCCTCGCGCCACGCCCGGCTCCTCCTCCTCCTCCTCCTCCGCCTCCTCTCCCTCCTCCGCTCCTCCTCCGCCTTCTCCTCCCTCCCCTCCTCCTCCTCCTCCTCTCCCCCTCCTCCCTCCTCCCTCCTCCCTCCTCCCTCCTCCCTCCTCCTCCTCCTCCTTCCTCCTCCTCCCTCCTGGGAACCGAGCAAGAGATGCCCCCGGCGCCCACCGTCACCCCAGGAGCTGCCGCAGCGTGGCCCCGAAGGCCGCGCTGGGCCCGCGCCCGTCGCCCGGGCGCAGGGCGCCCCTGCGGTCCTGCGCCGCGGCGTGCAGCGCGCCCGCCTCGGCGAGGCCCAGCACCTCTTGCCCCCTCCTCCCTCCCTCCCCTCCCACTCCCTCCCTCCCTCCCTACCTCCCTCCCCCTCCCCTCCCCCTCCCCCTCCCCCTCCCCCTCCCCTCCCCCCCCTCCCCCTGTCGCTCGGACATCCACTTCCCGTGCACTTTTCGGTTTCGCGCGTGCTTTATGTTGCTCGATGCTCCAGGATGGTCCTCGAGGGTTCTCGCCGAAAGAAAAAGTGCACGCGTCCAAGCGATGCCGAGACCTCCTTCATGAGGCACAGGAACTCGGGAAAGTCGAGGGCCTCGCAGCTCCCGCGCCTGCTCCTGTCCGAGGGCCCGCGGTCCGCCCGGCGGCGCGCCGCGGCCCTCAGCCTCTCCAGCGGCACGCTCGCCGCGGCCTCGATGCTCGCCAGCAGCCGCTGCACCCGTCGCTCCGGTATCTCTCCCACCCCGTCCACGTCGTTCTTAATGAAGAGCTCGCGGAACTCGTCAACCTGGGCGGGCTCGAAGCCCGTGGCCTCGATGGCGGCGCGCTCCCTGTCCACGCGGTCCGTGTCCTCGATGTCCTGGATCCTCCGCACCAGCGCCACGAACTCGTTGAAGTTCAGCCAACCTGGCCAATCTGTCTCTGCCGAGCTTGCCTGGGACACGGCCTGGCGCACGGCTGGCCCCAGGCCCTCATGGTCGACAGCGTCGCTGAAGGACTCCTGCACAAGCAAGGTCAGCTCGGCGGGCGTCAGCTTGCCGGCGCTTTTGCCGTGCTTGCCGAAGAGATGCCTGAGCTCTGCGTGGCTGGCGCAGCTAAAGCCCTCGCGGGCGGCGGCCGCCAGCCTCGTGACGGAAAGCAGCCCCAGGGCGGCCTGCATGAAGCCGTCCAGGTCGACGTAAGGCTCCTCCCTGCCGTCCTTGAAGGGCCTCTCCCTTGCGTCGCCCGAGCCGGGCACGATCACCACGGCGCTCACCACCTGCTGGCAAGTTGCCTCGTCCATGTCTTCCCCGCAGACCCGCCCCAACGCCTCCGCGACGTGTTGACGGCAGAGCCCGGGCCGCCCAGGCAGGGCGGCTCTGGTAAACTCGGCCCTCGCACGTCGACTGTCCCTCTCGCGGAAACTCTGCTTTGGACGCCCGAAATGGGTACTGAAAGAATGGGCACAATGTCCAACAACAATTCCTTTTCATTTTCAACAGGATTCGCTGTCCACGCCGCCGCGGCCTGTGTCCATTCGAGACAGAAGGCCGCCTGCCCAACAGCGGCCGCTGTTGGCTTGGGACAACATTTGTTGTTGGGCATAGTGCCCATTCTTTCCGTACCCATTTCGGGTGTCCAAATCTGCAGGACCATCTGGAACTCCCGAAAATCCAACATGGAGTTACCGTTCAAATCCACCCTGCGGATGGCGAGCTGCGCCTCCTGGAAGGGCACGCAGTAGCCCAGGGACCGGATGGCGCAGACGGCCTGTGCTCCGCTCACTTCGCCGTCGAGGTCCCCAGCTCGCCGGGCGAAGCAACTCCGGATCTCCTCGGCCTCGTCCGCGCCGAAGCCGGCGCGCGAGCGGAACACCTCCAGTATGCGCAGGACGTCGTCCATGCTCAATTCCGAGCCCTCGGCCACGCCCGTATCTCTGGCGGCGTCGCCCACCGCCCCTGGCATGGGAGCGTAGCCCAGAGACTTCAGAACGCCCTCCAGCTCAACGGGGTTCGTGAGGCAGGACTGGCCAGGGTTACTCATGCGGATGAAGTCCCCGATGATCTTCACCTCGCGCTCCCGGACCCAGCGCATGCAGAGAATGAACTCCCTCTTGTTGAGCGACCCACTGAAGTCCATGTCGGCCGAGCTCAGCAGCTCATCGACTCGTCGCTGGTCGATGGCGTAGCCGAGCCGCAGCAGGACCTCGCGCAGCTCTTTGGTGGACATGTCTCCAGAGCCGTCGCGGTCGAATCGTGCGTGCATCCTCTGCAGCGCGTCGTGCTCCTGTTTCGTGAAGCCTTCGCGGAGGAGCAACAGCCGGGCCACCTTCAGGAAGTCGTGGACGCCGATGGCGTTCTCGCGGTCCCGCGGTCTATCCTCGCGGCTCTGGGTGACCTCGCGGATCGCCTCCGCCAGCACGTGCCTCATTGGTAGCAGGCCCAGGTCCTTGACCAGCTGAGGCAGCACCGAGAGGTCCACCTCCAAGTCCAGCGCGTCCTCGTCCAAGCGCCTCTCGAAAGCGTCCGTGAAAGCCTCGTTCTGCCTCATGATGTACGTGTGCATGAAGGTGTTGAACTCATCCTGGCCCAGAGCGGGATCGCCCGTCACGCAGCGGCAGACCTCGTCAATGAGCTTGGGGTCTGGTACGGCCATGCCACTGAGTTCCACCGCCTGGGGCAGGTCGCCGTGGTGCACCTGGAGGTCGTGGTGCAGGCTACTGAAAATCTGCGGCCATAGGTCGGCGCGCTCGGCCAACTCCTTGGCCTGCAGGTCGCGCACGCGCTCCCGGGCGAGCCCGAATGCGGAGGTCTTGCTCTCCACCTCCGCGACGCCCGGGCCGGCATCCTTCAGGGAAACAAACAACGACATAAAAACACAAAAACTCGCAGGTCCGCGCGGATTCCTCGGATCGGCGGTGGACCCCCTTCCCCCGGCGCGCGCAGCGCGCCAGGGGCGGCGCATCGCCGATGCGAGGACTCCGCGCGGACCTCCGAGTTTTGATGTCTGTGTCGTTGCTCGTTCCCCAGGAGGAGGAGGAGGAGGAGGAGGAGGAGGAGGAGGAGGAGGAGGAGGAGGAGGGGGAGGAGGAGGAGGAGGAGGAGGAGGAGGGAGGAGGAGGAGGAGGGGAGGACGGAGGAGGAGGAGGAGGAGGAGGAGGAGGAGGAGGAGGAAGGAGTGGGAGGGAGGAGGAGGAGGAGGAGGAGGAGGCGGAGTAGGAGGAGGAGGAGGAGGAGGAGGAGGAGGCGTGGGGAGGAGGGAGGATGGAGGAGGATGAGGGAGGAGGGAGGAGGGAGGAGGGAGGGAGGAGGGAGAGGGAGGAGGGAGGAAGAGGCCTACTATCCTTCGCGACGTCCAGCTGCCTCGGGCCCACGTGCGCCGCCGCGCGGCCCGGCGCCGCTCCGGCCGCGCCGCCCCCGCGACGCTGCCGCCGCGGGGGGGCCCACGCCGCCGCGGGCGGCGCCGCGGGGGCCCGGCGCGCGCTGCTGACGGGGCGGCGGAGAGGGGCTGCGGCGGCCCGCGGGGGCCGCGCGCCGCCGCGGCGTCGTGGGCTTTGGCGTGCGCCGCCGGCGGGGCGGCGGGGCGGGGCCTGGGCGGTCCTGGCCGGCCTCGCCGCCGAGGCCGCCGGCGGCCGCGCTGGAGGCAGGGCTGGCGGCCCTGCTGGCGGCAGGGACTGCCGACCCGAGCCTCGATCCTCGATCCTCGATCCTCGATCCTCGATGGATCCTCGATCCTCGATCCTCGATGGATCCTCGATCCTCGATCGATCCTCGAGCCTCGATCCTCGATCCTCGATCCTCCAATCCTCGATCCTCCAATCCTCGATCCTGGATCCTCGATCCTGGATCCAGGCCGGGGCTGTGCCGGCGTCGGCGCAACCGGCCCTGCGCCTGAGGGGGCGCCGCCGGCAACCACGGTGGTGACAGGGCTGGCATCCGCGCCGGCGGTGGCTGGGGCTGCTGACTCCTGGAGCTCCACTTCTGGCGGCACCGACGGCGACGCGGCCGCCCCCGTGACGGGCAGTGGGCGAGGGCGCGGCGAGGGGGCGGCGGCGAGGGCGGCGGCGGCGCCTGGCAGACGCCGTGGGCTCTCTGCGGGCGCGCGCCAGGGGCTTCGTGGGCCTGTAGGGCCATCTCGCGGCGGCCCAGCGGCTCGCGGCCGGACGCGCGTGGGCCTCCCGCGCGGCTGCGCGGAGGGCTTGCCCTGCGGAGCCGCGGGGGGCACCAGAGGCTGCCCGCCCGGCGGCTCCACTGGCAGCAGGGCAGACGTGGGCACGAGCACCCAGGCCACAGTGGGCGCCGGCGCCTTCGGCACGAGGCCCTGGCGGACGTGCTGCGCGTGCAGCAGGGCGCCGTGCGACACGCGGCGCAGCCGGCGGCCCCTCAGGCCAGGCCGCTGCTGGCAGCGCTGCCGCGCGGGATCTCGCCACACCGCGGCTGGCACCGTCGGCGCCCTGGCCGCCTGGGCCCTGGCGTCGGCGAGCTCGGGCTCGAGCGTGGCAACGTTCTCGCGCGAGCAGGCGGGAGCGGCGAGGGCAATCCCGGCAGAGGCCCGGTCGTTGGCAGCCTGCCCGGCCGCGGCGCCCTCGTCGGCCTCCGCGGGCGCCGGCCCAGCGGCGGCGTCCCCGGCGGAGCTCGCGTCCGCGGGGGCGGCCTCCTCGCTGGCCGGGGCGTCGGCCTCCCCTCCGAGCCCGCCCGCGAGGGCGCTGCCATCGCCGCCGGGCGGCTCGCGGGGCGCCTCGTCGGGCACCGCCTCCGCGGCGGGAGGGGCCTCTGACTCGTCCGGCACCTCTGGCGGCAGCTCGGAGCAAGGAGTCGTCTGCGGAATATCGTCGCGCCTCTTCCTCGCTGGGCCTGGCGAGCGGCGCGACAGCGAGCGCGACTCCTCCGCCCTGCACGCGTGGCTGTCGCTGCGCCATCGCGGCGTCGGCGCTGGGTCACGGTAGCACGCCTCGATGACCTCCATCCTGCTCCTGCGCCTGCCTGTGACCTTCCGGGCGATCGCTCCAGGCGTCGCCGCCAGGTCGCCGTGTCGGCGAGTGACCATGGCGGCCCCATGCCCAGCCGCCTCCTGGCAGCGGTTCCGAGGGGCGCCACGGCTGCCAATAGCTTGAGCCGACAATCGCGGTTCCCTGGAAAAGAAAAGTCAACAACAACAACAACAACAACAACAACAACAACAACCACAACCACAACCACGACCACAACCACAACCACAACCACAACAACAACAACAACAACAACAGCAGCAACAACAAGAATACGAATACTCATAATAAAAATGACAACAATGATATGATAGTAATAATAATAACAATTAAAAACAAGTGAGACCCTTTAGTAATACTGAAAAATACAAATAACAATAATATTAATAGTGATACTAATATGAAGAAATCATAATAATAATAATAATAATCATAATAATAAGAATAATAATAATAATAGTAATAATGATAATAAGAATAGACAAAATCAAAAGAATACTGTTATTCATCGTACTAATAATGATAATACCAATAATAATAACAACAAGAAAAAACTGAATAAAAATGCATGTAACATAAAAGATAACAGCAACAGCCCCAACACCAACACCAACACCATCACCAACACCAACACCAGCACCAACAACAACAACAAACATCATTCTAAGACTGCTCGCTTTGACCTGCTCGCAAACCATTCAACACGTATATCCCAAATCCCTCGGTACCCGCCCTATTCGTCTTCGACCGTATCCCCCTTGGGGGTATATCTTCCCTACCTGCCGCGTGTAGTTGGCGCAGCCCCTCAAACAGGGGAAGAAAGGACGGATGGAAGAGGGAGGGAGGAGAATGGAGCTCGACACAGATTAGGAGGAGGGGGGCTAGGAGAAGAAAACACGTGGCAGAACCAGACGGGCAGATCGGGCGGATAGACCCTAACGAGAAGGTCGGGAAGGCGGGCCCAGGCGGCCAGGTCGAGCATGCGTGGTGCCGAAGCGCGAGCATGAATCGCGAGGAGGTCTCGAGCGATACCGCGATTCCAAAGTAAATCATGAGAAAGGCCCGAGCGACAGCGTGATTCCTAATGGTTGGAGGCGCGACGCCTGAATAAATTGCGAGGACATCCAACGCGAGAGCACGATTTCTGCATACCAAAAGGTCGCGCGCGAGAGCGCGATTCAGGAATATATTGTGAGGAAGTATCACGCGGGAGCCGCTGTTGTTGTAAACTGGGGGCCAACAACCCAATTCTGAGACTCAAAACTTCCACTGATAAAAAGCAGGCTGCGAGCCCCAGAAAGGGCATTCAATTGAAT